TGCTCACAGGTCATGCCCTCTGGCCCTACCATCAGCTTTGTTGTCCTCCTCTGGAGGCATTCAAGGGCCTTCACATCCTTCTTGAATGGTGGGGCCCAGCACTGCACACAGTGCTCCAGGTGAGGTTGCACCAGCACTGAATACAGTGGGAGAATCCCCTCTTTTGACCAGCTGGTTGTACTGTGTGATGCACCGGGGGTGCTGTTTGCCCTCTTGCCTGCCAGCACACACTGCTGACTCCTGTTGAGCTTAGCATCAAACCAGCACCAACAGGTCCCTTTCTGCAGGGCTGCTCCCCAGCCACTGCTCTCCCAGTTCATACTTGCGCCCTGTGTTACTCTGTCCTAGATGCAGAATCTGGCATTTGGACTTTTTACATTTCATCCCATTGATCATGGCCCAGTGCTGCAACCTATCTAGATTGCTCTGCAAGGCATCTCATCACTGAGGAGAGTCAATAGCACCTCCCAGTTTGGTGTCATCAGCAAACTTGCTAATGGTATATTCAGCTCCAGGATCCAGATAATTGATAAATATATTAAAAAGAACTGGCCCTAGAATTGAGCCCTAAGGAACACCACTAGTGACTGATCACCAGCCAGATGCTTTTATAAACCAAGAGTTAAATTATTAATTTACTGATACTTCACCATTTAAATAGCATTTTCAGCATTATGCATTGAAGTAAAAATGTGTATACAAATAGCAATTCTTCTGCAGAAATCTGAACCAGCTTTTTTTTTCCCCTCACAGCAAACAGTGCTCACACTGGGAGAGTTAATGGATTATGCTATACAAATGATGGACTTCATCTGTTAACCACTGGTACAGATGATCGGATGCGACTCTGGAACAGCTCCACTGGAGAAAATACATTAGTAAGTTATCAAAGATCTTCAGTTATGTTTTTACTTGCACATAAGTTTAGAAGACTTATAATTTGTGCAATTGTCATTACAACTTTGAGTGTTAATTTCATAAAGAATATAGCTGCTTAATCTCATCATTAGAAGATTGAGTGAGGGGTTGTTTTTTTTTTTCCCAGATTTCTTTAGTTATTTCTACTTATTTAAAAAAACAATATGAAGAAGCTTGGATCTACTTAAAGATTGAATATGGTAACTTTAAGTTAATTTTGTGAGCGCAGCTGGAAGCGCTTCAGACAGTGTTGAAAATGTTCATATGCAGTAACTATTGGTAGAAATGTTTGTTTTCTTTTTTTAACTGTTAGTTGTCAGTGTGCTTGCCACAGGGCAGTTGCCTGTACCTGAGAGTTTCACAAAGTGACTGCCTGGCTTTCTTGCAACTTTCTTTGTGTTCTTGTGGAATCTGTCCTGTGAAGTGGTATAGCAGTGTTAAAAGTATCTATTCCTCTGCATCTGTATTGCAACTAGACTGGGAGGGAGGAATATTAGATCTTTACTGCTTTTCTGGCCCTTTGTATTGCTTGCTTTTTGCTGAAGGTTCCTGTTTTAATTTTCTGTTCAGTAAAGATATGTGTATTTTGAAAGAAGAACATACCACGTAGGTCAGTTTCTGTGGGATTGTAGCCAGTTGTGATTATGGTCTGTCACTGAAAAGGAAGAAATTATACTCTACCTTAGTAATCTTTTACTTCTGCTGCTGAGGTTCAGAACACAGCAAAGAGAATTCTTTATAGACCTTTAAATGAAAGGACTTTTCTGTCTCCATGCCAGCTTGTTCGTTTGAGATCACCATCACCAAAATACATAATAGTTTGTTCACTCTTCTGTCACCAGTTGTATCAGTGTGTTCTGGTTTTCTGCACCTGTTAGTTCATTAACTTGTTACATAGGCTATTTGCAAATTTCTTTTTGGTGGGGAATAGCTTGGTATCCTGCCTTGATTTTTCAAGTCCAGAATTACAGTGTCCAGAGTACTGTGTTTTCACACACAGCCCAGAGGTATTGCTTAAAATAATTTTAAGGCACCAGCAGACAAATGCATATACAGGTCATACCATAGTGCCTTTATTTCCTTTATTTTCCTTTATTTCACCATAGTGCCTACTAGCCAATCCTTTTGATCTCAATGTGATTTTATTTTTTTTTATTTTTTAATTTATTTTTATTTTTAGCAATGAGCCAAATTTGGGGCCTGGTGGATTGTTTCAGCTAGTAAGAGAAACGAATGTTGGAGTTGTATGCATCTTGCATACATCCTTTATCACAAAAAGAATAGGAAGTCCTGATTCACCGAGCATAGGAAGAAATAAATAGAAGGAAGCAGTTTTTCTGTTTGGGTGCTCAAAGGTCAAAGCTAGTTTTTAATCTTTCTTCAGTTCTTGTTTTGGGACCATCCTTTCCTTTCCATTGATCCCCTACCAAGCAGGAACATTTCAACTGAATACGTCCATATATTTGGCTTTTCCCAGCCTCCTCTCTTCTCTTTCGTTGTACATGGGGTTTTTTATGAACAGTATTGTGGCTTGGGAATTGTTGCTGTTCCAGCTCACATGCTTAATTGCTCTTTATCAGCAGAGTAATATGCCTCTTGAAATAACTAGCATTAACAAGACTTAGCACAGTCAATATTTACAAACACTGTCTTCATAAAATGAGCTGTATTTTCCACAAAGGACATGACATAAGCTCCGCATCTCATGAAAATATCCTCTCAGTGTGGAAGAAAAAATCAATGCACTTGTGTGCTAATCAAACTCTGTATACATTTTTGTGACACTTGAGACTGTTTTTTTTTTTCTCAGTACTCCTTTTTATTATACTTTTTTTACATAAATGCTCTTTGCTATGAAAGAGCACACTTTAAAAATAGAGCTACAAGTAATCATTTTCCTTGCCTGGCTCATGCGGACTGGTGCTTATATTTGCCTCAAATTTGGACTCAGGCAATTGATCTGGTATGGATCAAGAACCTGATAAAACAAGACGTTTTTATTAGAATTACAGATCTGTTAGCTTATAGTCGAAATATTTCACACTTAGGATTTATTTTTTAACTGTAGGCCATGAGGTTTAAGTAAGAAGCTTTAAAAGTGACCCAGAGAACTTTGCTAAACTGTACATGTAAGCAAATCTCTGCTTTTTGCAGCAGAAATTTAGAGCAAAGTTTGTAGGAAATACTGTTTGAAAACAAAATATTTCATATATAATGCTATATAGTATTAATGAATTAAATTTAAAACACCATTATTAGAAAAAATACTACCATTAAATCATAAAACAATGTGTGAGGTTAAGGTGTTCATAGTGGACTTCTTCATGGAAAAATTTTGTCAAAATTCTAATTCTTTATTTTGCTTAGAGGTGAGCTATGCTGTTCTCATTAATGTATTTCTGTATTTTCTCATGAATACATTCTTGATGTCTGATAGGACTTAATTAAACTGATCTATCAAAGTGAAATATTTACTGGCATGTTTGGAAACTTTCAGCCTTGGTGAGATTATTGTTTGTACAGGACTTGTCAAGAGTTTGAAATGGACAGGTGCTAATGAGCTATACAACTTAACACTGCTTTTATTTCCAAGATTTCCCACACACCTCACAGGCCAGGTCTTAGAAATGTAGCATTTGCTCCTATCCTAGCTGCCCTTATAGGGTACAGTATTGAATTTCTCAGTGGTGATTTGGCTTTGGCTAGAAGATAGTCTTCTCCTCCCCCCACCCTTAACTAGTCCATAATCATTTACCAAGTTATTCTTTATTTATTTCTCCTTCATAAATCTCTTTCTTCTAATCCCTTTACTTGCCCTTTACTTATGCCATCCTTCTGCTTTTTTCAGTTGTTTTCAATACTGCCTAGTCATGTCCTACTGTTTCTTGGTAATTCATGACGAACAGCCGAGAGAGCTGGGGTTCAGTGTGAAGAAGAGAAGGCTCTGGGGAGGCCCTAGAGCAGCTTCCAGTACTAGTCTCCTTTGCCCCTCTGCTCTGGTGAGACCCCACCTGGAGTACTGCGCCCAGCTCTGGAGTCCTCAGTACAGGAAAGATAGGGACTTGTTAGGGCAGGTCCAGAGGAGGGCCACAAAAATGATCAGGGGGCTGGAGCACCTCTCCTATGAGGAAAGGCTGAGAGAGTTGGGCTTGTTCAGCCTGGAGAAAAGACACCAGGGAGACCTTGTTGCAGCCTTTGAGTTTCTTAAAAGGGACCTAAAAGAAAGATGGGGAGAGACTTTTTAGCAGGGCCTGTTGTGACAGGATGAGGGGTGATGGTTTTAAACTAAAAGCGGGGAGATTCAGGCTGAACATGAGGAAGACTTTTTACAGTGAGGGTAGTAAAACACAGGCACAGGTTGCCCAGAGACATGGTGGGTGTGCCATCTCTGGAGACATTCAAGGCCAAGCTGGATGTGGTTCTGAGCAACCTGATCTAGTTCAAGATATCCCTGCTTATTGCAGGGGGTTGGACTAGATGACCTTTGAAGATCACTTTCAACCCAAACTATTCTATGATTTTATGATTTATATACTGTTGTGCATAGGGAGCTCTTTAAATATCTGAGAGAAAATTCTTATGTTGGATCATCTAGGAAAATGTCCGAGGCAGTAAATTTGAACCAGTTCTAATTTTGGTGATAGCTTAGGTACTTGGCATAGATCTGGCACACAGTAGCCTGTGCAAATTCAATTTCTCAGTGTGGAACTCCATGTTTTTAGGCATAACATTCTCTTTTCTTTTTTTTTCTTTTTTTTTTTTTTTTTTTTTTGAGGTTGATATTAGGGAGAGTGAAATTTAATGAACAGAAAAATGATAGACATCTGTAATTGGAAATCTCAAGAGTTGTAACATTGCGAATCTTAATTGTATTGAGTATTGAAGAAATTAATTTGACCTTTTTAATGTAAAGCGTTTCCTGTAGTTTTATTTAATAGCTAACTTAATAATTCTTCATTTTACAGGTGAATTATGGGAAAGTCTGCAATGAAAGCAGAAAAGGACTCAAATTTACAATCTCTTGTGGCTGTGATCCGGAGTTTGCCTTTGTACCATATGGTAGTACCATTGCTGTTTACACGGTTTTCGCAGGAGAACTGATAACTGTGCTTAGAGGGCATTACACTGCTGTCAACTGCTGTGTATTTCAGCCTAATTTTCAGGTAAGTAAAGTACAAACTATTTCAGATGACCTGGGGTATTTATGCAGATTGCCAAACCATTTGCACAGTAAGTGTTAAATTTTCAGGGATGTGCTTTAATCAAAGATCTTGACATAAGAGGGAGTTCTGTGGCCTGTGTGTTAAGCAAGAAAGGTTGCTCAAGTTATTGGGATGACCCTTTCTATATTGGATCCCTTCCAATATGCATTTTTTCTCAAATAGGTAACTTTTCAATATATACCTATATGATTTTTTAAGGTTATACTATCATTAATAAATGGTATGTATTAAGGCTTTTGCCTGTTTTCTGTAAGACTGAAGAGGAGGCATTTGTCTTCCTCTGAGATACCCAGCACTTATCATAGAAAAAAATTAGGTGAAGTGTACTAGCATTGCTGTCAGTACTGAGAACCTCTCAAGTTGTGAAGGTGATCTTGCTCAAATGCCAGTAGTCATACCAGTCAGTAAATCTATGAGCAGTTTGGGTGAAGTGTTAGGAACTTGATGAGCTACTTAAATTAAGCTGAGAACAGTTTCCCACTCCTTACAGTTGGACCAATAGAACCTAAGCTAATAAGCCTTGCTAGCCCTGGAAGGCAGCCTGGCATGAATAGGCACTGAGATACTAGATCCAGTGAAAGGTGGAATATTCAAATTATAGCTAAGGCATATCTCTTCTGCACTGTTCTTGACTAGTTTTAAAAGCCTTTTGTTTTTTTTAAGAACACTTTCCTAATGAAAGTGCTAGTGTGTTTATATTAAGTCATCTTTGGTGTTCTTTTTGATAAACTGAAGAGGTGAGGCTCATTAAATCTCACTGGAAGTCGTGTTTTCTGGCCCTGGAAATACAAATGTCTTTATAGTGTCTCTGTCTTGACTTTTAAGATCCTTAGGAAGGATCACTTGTGTGAGCATGCACACAAGAACTGCATCATCTGCTATGACTATAGGTTTATGTTGAGAAACATTTGATTCATGTATCCGTGTGATTCCTGATTCTCTTTAAGAATCACCCTTTTCCAGAGTTCAGTTCTATATTGTAGAAGAGCGAGTGGATTTTCTTTCCTTTTTCTTTACTCTGCTTTTAGTTGTATTAAGCTGTATTAAGTTGTATTAAACTCTGATGGAATAACATCACTACAGCCGGTGTGCCAACACCATAGGTAGTGGTAGTGTTATTTTGACTGTGTTCAACACCTATACTTCTAGTTAGCTCATTCTGTCTTGTGACAATTAAGTACAGCCATCAGTCTTCATATAATTCCAATAGAAACTGATTTCCCGGTTCATATTCCTTTTCTGAGAATGTAGTAATCTCTAAAATTTGTGGTAACCTGTTTTATTTTACTCTTGCAAGCAATATTAAATCAGTATGTTTGAAAGTTATTCACAGCTGTACATTTCTATTTTCAGGTACTAGTAAATAAAATCAGTTTTGCTTAACAAAACCTGCTTTGTTGCAAACCATGTTGAATGATCTTGTTCGTACTCCTGTAGCTTAACTCTGCAGTAACTGAATTGTTCTATCACCTGTTCCATTGTCTTGTTTAGGATTAAAGAAATGTTGGTTAGTTCATTTGTATCTGTATCATTCCACTTTATTTTTTGCCTCTGAATGACATATTGGCTTACTTCTAGCTTTGTAGCATTTTGAAACATGTTAAAACATAATTATCTTGTCTAAGAAAATAACATTTTGGGCAACTCTTCTAAGTTTGTCTGATATAAGTTGTGCATCTAGTGGTGATAGGTGTAGTAAATGATTTCTAAAACTTTCTATTTATTAACACATTTGAACTTAGTACACTATCTTCATAGGAAACGAGGTCTACAACTTTTCTTTATAGTTTCTACCATTTCCATCTAGTAGTGAGTCTCTTTTGTTAAGAGTTTTCTTGTATTGATAGTCTTCTAAACATTTTCTGCTGTCTTTAACTCTGCTGAGAGATTTTTGTCCTACCCAACCTTACATTTGGTCCTTAGATTTTCTTCGTATTTTTTCGTATCTTCAAAACTTCTGATTGGTTGCTGCCAGTCCTTTACGCTCTTTGTGTTCATTAATTGTGTTTTAATCACTACCTTAGTTTCACTTCATAACTGGAATAGACTCTAAAAGGAACTTCATCTTTCTACCAATTACATATTTGAGCTAAGAAGCGTCTTCTGTTTGCTCAGAACCATATAATCAAATATGATCACTGATACCCAAGCAACTAGCTATTTGCAGTGCTATGATATTAGTTCTTAGGTCCAAATTAATTAGCAGGTTTGTGTCTGAGATATTGTGTGGTGCTAGCTCCACAGAGTGGTATGAGATTTAGTTAATGTGCCTTTTGAGATGCTGGGAATAGAGCCATAAAAACCGATATGTTATTGTTGGCCTAAATTGTTCTTACGTAAATATCTTTGTAAAGTTAATAAGATGTTAGTCTGCTTGAGTAATAAGAACTGCAGAATTTGGCCCTTTAATAAGAGCCATTAACTTAATAGGAGATCGGTAATTTCAAGGGTGGTGTGGAAGAGGAAATCTTCATTATGCAATCTTTTACATGATGTTTACTGTTGAATCTAATATGCTAGATACCATTGTGCCATATTAGCTGCTTAAAATAATTTAAATAAACAGACAAGAAATGGTGTAAAGCACCATGCATGAATAACATGTCATAAGATTAGGTATGCCTCAGGAAACAATTTTGCTTTAAATTTACAGGTAATTCTATTGTTCAAGACATACCAATGATATCTGCAAAGGTGTTTGGCAAATTAAGTAGTAGGCTAATAAGTAAAGATAACTGCAGGTTAAATTAGGTTTCATTTGTAATCTTTCCTTGGAGTCTTAAAGCATAATATTTCCATATATTGTACCAGAAACATGTAGTACAATGTATGTGTATGTCCTGTACTGCACCATATATGTACTGGCTTTTCTTTTGACTGACTTTAGGAATGAGTCACCATTTTGGTCTGTAATCATTAATTGTAAGTATTACTCAATTCAGTGGATATTAACTGAAGATCTTGCAATGCCAGGATCAGAAAGTGAGACAAGTGGTAATAAAGACTAAATGGAAGTATGCTGATGTCACTATGACATTGCTTACAAGGGGAGATTTTGGTGTGGGAAGAGGTTTTGAAGTTGTAATGATACTCAGTATCATTTCAAAGACAGGAGGCTTGAGTAGACTACTACTGACATGATGAAGTGGGATTTGACCTGTGTATTGCTTTGACATGTCTTTAGCAAGATAGGTAGTATATTTCTCTCATAAAATTATAGACACTAATCTTGTATGTGTGTTATGTACAAGCAAATTCATGCATGGGACCAGTTCAACCAAAGTGAGTATGTCAGCTCTCTTGAGTAAGATTAAATAAATTACATAAATAAGTGTTTATAGGAATTAGGCTCTAAGTTCCTGCACTGTCAGTGTGATTCATAGAATGGTTTGGGTTGGAACGGACCTTAAGATCATCTAGTTCCAACCCCCTGCCATGAGCAGGGATGCCTCACACTAAACCATGTGGCCCAAGGCTCTGTCCAGCCTGGCCTTGAACACTGCCAGGGATGGAGCAATCACCACTTCCTTGGGCAACCCGTTCCAGTGCCTCACCACCCTCACTCTAAAGAACTTCTGCCTTATATCTAACCTAAACTTCCACTGTTTAAGTTTGAACCCATTACCCCTTGTCCTACCACTAGAGTCCCTAACGAAGAGACCCTCTCCAGCATCCTTGTAGGCCCCCTTCAGATACTGGAAGGCTGCTATGAGGTCTCCATGCCGCTTCTCCAGGCTGAACAGCCCCAACTTTCTCAGCCTGTCTTCATATGGGAGGTGCTCCAGCCCCCTAATCATCCTTGTGGCCCTCCTCTGGACTTGCTCCAACAGCTCCATGGCCTTATGTTGATAACGCCAGAACTGCAGAAGATGGCATGGAGAAAACAGAAGGACAGAAAGAGATGCACAAGTCAAAAGGGGTAAAAATATGAAAGACAGAATGACTATCCCAATAGGAATGGGGCCCAAGATCTCATGGGAACAGCAATGTAATATTTCTTTACATGTTGGTTTCTCCTCTATTACTGAACAATTATAATGCAGATATCAGTCAAGATTTCAGATATCAAAGTCCTTAGAGTTTCTGATAGAATTCATGCAGTTCTAGAATTAAATGTACATAATAAAGCAACTTTCCGCGAAGACAGAACTGGAATAGCTTATTGAACTTACGCTGAATCAATGTATTAGTAATGTGCACATATGCACAGAGTTGTTAAAGTGTAAAAGCCAACATGCTTAAAGTAAGGCTTTCATACTGTCAGTCTGAATACAAGACTGGCCAAGAAGTCTGTGTTTCACTAAATAAAGAATGAAGAAAATTAAGCTATATTTTACTGTTAGCTATTTGGTATAGAGACTGTTTGCTTCCATGTGTTTGCAGGGTGCCTTGCACAGTGGGATCTCAGTCGTTAGTCACTACCATAATAGTTATTTATATTAAAAATAATAAATTGGTCTTTCTGATCTCTGCCTTCTCAACAGGATACAGGCTTCAAATTGTTCTTTATTTGTTCTTTTTCTTCCCTACGCATACTGAAAATACCTTTACTTAATGTTTCTTTGTTCCGTACATATGTAATCTTAACATGTCTTACCAGATGCTTTTGAGTTGATTCATGTTTTAAAATTGTAATAAGAAATCTGCCCCCCTCCCCTTTTTTACCTTCTGTATTGAACATAAATCATCTTTTAAGCTTCCTAACTTGAAGTGTCTTCTCATGAAACATGAGAGAGCAAAGAATAAAAGTGAATTTAAGCAATAAAGTTCATTTAAATGTGGGTAGTGCTGTTTTGGTGAGCAATCTGGGAAAAATTATGCTGTGGAATATTTTTTTAAAATACTATTTATCAAGATTACAGTACAAATTAGAAATTGTATGTTTATTTTAAAATAAATATTTCAGACACCTTTATTTCCAGCATTATATCTATGTCACTGTTCAAAAACTTAATGTAAAAGTAATTTTTGCTTACTTTCTTACAGGAACTTTATAGTGGTAGCAGAGATTGCAATATTCTTGCATGGATACCAGCTCTACGAGAGCCAGTTCCTGATGATGTTTCTGAAAAGGTAATGAATTTGTGAGTTTGAACTATATTTTTCACTGCTGTTATACTTGAGGAGGTGGTGTGGAAATTAAATAGGAATTGTGTTTCACCATCAAAATCTGTAATAATTCCTAATTGAGGAGAATTGTCCATTATTTCTGTGCAATTTTTGATTGATGTGGGGTTTCCAGGGGACATTTTCTTTCAGAGTCTGTAAAAATCTTTAGCAAACTTCTAGCTTTTCACTTACTTAAAAGTAGTACTTGTCATTTGGCTATCAGTCTCTTAATGTCTACATAGCTTCCTTAATTTCCACACGGTTTTCCATAGTTTATGCTATTTTGGAATTGGAGAGGTGCCAAAACTGTGTTTTAAGTTGTTTAAGAACATACTGTATAGTAAACAGGAAGATGAAGGGTGCTACATCTCATACACAAATATTTTTGATGCAGAAATATAGTAAAGAAGATTTTAAGCAAGCTTATTTTAATGTCTGAGGCAAGACATTCAGGCTGTTACTAAAAAGATAATCTGTAACACTGGTTTCCAAAACAGTACTTTATCTCGCATAGTATTAGAGCTGGGCTGTAAAAATTTCAGTGAGCAGCTGGAAGAGGAAAAGTTCTAGATTTTAAGGAACTGAAGCCATTCACAGAATCGGAAACTGACAAACTGTACTAATGTTAAAAAAACAAGCTATGTGAATGTTTTGGCTCACAGCATACAAAAATTCTATTTTTCAAAATTTCTGAAATGTTCCATTTTGGATGGGGAAATAAGGATAAAATTTTTTGAATGCTTGTTTTGCTTTGAAGACAACCTGTTTCAAAACTATCCAACACTTAAGCAAAGAAGAAAAAAGTCGCATTCAAAGGTTAGATACCCCATACTCAGAATGTGTTCAGTTGACCTGAAAAGAACAGTTTTGCTATAACTGAGAATTTTGATGAGTGTGAATTGTTTTTTCTTGGTGTGAAAACCAAAACCAAACAGCAGTGAGATTATTTACCCAGCTCTGATTAGAACTGCCCCTTTAAATTTGATATGATGAAGGTATGTAAAATAAGCCATTGTTTTGAAATCTTTTAAGCTACAACTGCTCTTTGCAAATGTCTAGATGAACACTGCCTCTGAAAAGAAGCACTTCTGCTGTCCAGGGCCACTAGTTCCTGCTCCCTCTCATGTGCTAGGACAGCCATTTGAATGCCCATATGACCAGCAACCCAGGATGGAAGTAAACAAGAGAAAAATTCTACCTTGAGTCACTGATTCAGTGCTTTACCTAGCTGCACAAACCCTTTAGCTCTACCCTGGGGAGCTGAGGTGTGAAATGGTTGATGTGGGTAAAGGTCAGGACTGCTTCTTGAAACAGCAGTGCTCAGTTATGCTGGGCCAACAAAATAATGACTTAAAACCAGTGATACAAAACAAACACAGTAATATCCATGTGCTGTGTTTTATAACAGACACTCGTAAAAACTCTAGTCCAGATATTCTTTTGTAGAAATTGGACTTTAGAGTATTATTTCTTTTCATCATTTATCCTGTCTAATCAGTAGAATGCTAAATAAGTAGTTAAAAAAAATCCAGTACCCATAAGAGACACAATAGTTTGTCTTCATATAGTAATTTAAGAAATGTCTTAAGCATTACCCTTATTTGATTTTAGTGTTTCTAATTAAGCAAACCCCTGACTGAATTTTTATTTTCTTTAGTCTCTGCCTCAACAGCATTTAAATCCAGCATATGAAGATGCATGGAGCAGCAGTGATGATGAAGGCTGAATTTCAATTATGCGTTGATATGCAGTTGACATGCAGGCACTGCGTTCACAGACTTCATTTACAGAATTGGATATTGTCTATTACAACTGGATTTTTGGTACAGTTCTGTTAGGAAAAGTTATTTCAGAAATAAGTTTCCACTGTTCTGTGTTTTTTCCTTCACTGTTAAAAGTTAGATCTAAAGGATTGTTTTTTCATGCTTACTGACTTTTATACTTACCCTTACACATTGGCATTCTTTATTCAGTGTTGAATATCTGATGAAAGAAAAACAAAATCCCTTGGCAAAGTAAATATTGCACTGTTTTGGGGGTCACTAATATATAAGGATGTAATACCTTCATTTCCAAGAGGCATGATACAGAGGATTTTGCCTGAAACAGGACTAGCTCAGGGATACTTTATCTTATTTTTATCAGTGTCAAGATGAAGCAGACCATTCATTTTCAATGGCTGTTGGCCGTAGGAGCCAGCGGGATTCTGTGTCTGTTCTTTTGCATTTTCAGTTTAGCCTAAGTTTCTACACAAATGCAGTATTTGGTTCAGAAAGAGGTATAGCTGAAATCATCTATTCATGGTGATCCCATCAGCTAGTATTTGAATCTATCCCAGAAAGTTAAGAATAGAAACTAGTTTAGGGGTTTTGTTGCTCCTGTGAGCAGGTTTTGAGATCAGACTTCCATGTATGAATTTCTCACACTTCCCTAGCAAGGATGAAGAATTCATGCACAAACACAGGCTTGAGGTACAGTACAAGGCAGAGAGTGAATCACACTTCAAGTTAGAAATATCAGATGTAGTCATTCAAAACTGTTTGAATATGTGGTCCCAATGCCTGCTCTGTTTTGAAAGGAGAAGCTTTGTGGGGTTATTTTCTCTTCTCAGTCACTAGTTTGTTCTTCGGACATAGTGTAGTCACCAACCTGAGAGCTGAGTTGGAGGTTCCTAGCAGATGCAGCTGTATAGATGAGAACTTCCTTCCAAAGCAAGGCAGATATTAAGACCACATATTCATACACAAGGAAAAAATATTGTACAAATAAATGAAAGATAATAATTTAATCTTTGTATAGTGTGTATTATTTCTCTGATTAGTATGCATTTTATTGACTGTGCTTCTGTGTTTTAGTATCAAGACAAGATATGTCAATCTAGAGTTTAGCACTGTAAAAATGGTACAAAGTAAGGAGTGGGCATATCAAGAGAATGTTGTAATTAAGCTAGCTTTGTATGTAGTGCGTTTTTGCTGGGAGACACCCACTATTAAGTGGATAGCTGCAGGGTGGAAGACTTCCAGAGGTTTCAGCTGGAGTTAAGAACCAGCCTGACACTGTCACTTTACAGGAGTATTACAGGAGTAGAGAAAATAATTTTCTTTTTCTTCCTTGCCCCCCCCCTCCCCCCCCAGTTACAGTTGGGGAATAAATCTTGAGAAAATACAACACATTTTGACTTTTGTCTTGACAAGGATGACCCTTTTGCATGTTATAATTGTGCGTATGATTTATATGTGCAAACTGCAGAGTGTGTATTTGGTATTTGAATTTCTAAAAATGTGCTCAGTAAATTATAGAGCTAATTGTCAAAGAATTTTTTTTTTAATTAGTTTCCAGTTATCTGTAATGCCACTATAAGAGATGTTGATCTTAAATAAGAACCCACCACATAACCAGCTCTGTGCTGGACCAAGAATGGTATATAAAATGGGAGAGGTAGAAAAACTACATTTATTAAAAAAGGTAATATAGAAATTAACCCCATAAATAAGAATGTTGTATTAATTCTCCTGGGTTTGGGTTTGGTTTTTTTGTTTGTTTGTTTGTTTTTTTCTTTGAATGGCATTTTCTCGAATTAGTTTCTTTTCCTGTGCTTTAAGTACAGCAATTATGGAGATTACAAGGGACTACTGGAGATAATCTAACCCAACCTCCCTGTTTAAAACACAATCATGTAAAGCAGGTTGCTCAGGTTTGTGTCCGTCAGGCTGTGAATATGTCTGCAACCTACAAACCTGTTCCGATGTTTGATCATTATTAGACTAAAAGTTTCTTCTTAGACTTAAATGGAGTTTTCTGTATTGTGGTTTGCAGCCATTGTGTCTTCCCCATTCTTGGATACCACTGAGAAGACTCTGACTTCCTCTTCTTTACTGTCCCTTTCCCTGGCTCCATCAGTTATTTCTTCACATTGGTAAGATCCCCCTCAGCCTTTTCTCCTCCAGGCAGAACAGTCCCAGCTCTTTCAGCCTCTTCTGGTAGAAAGGATCACCTCCCTCAGCCTGCTGCCATCACTCTTCCTAATGCAACCCAGGTTGCTGTTGGCCACCTTTGCTGCAAGAGCACATTGCTGCCCCTTTAGTATCAAGCAGGAGTGCTGCATCATTTTCTACAGAGACGTTTTACAGCAGGTTGGTCCCTGGCCTCTCCTGGTCCATGGCGTTTTTGCTTCCTGGGTACAGGATTTGACATCTGCATGCTTTGAACATCATAAGATTCCTGTTTGTGTATTTGCCCAATCCATTGAGGTACCTCTGAATAGTGACAGCACAACTATCTGGTGTATCAAGCACTCTGCCTTGTATCACCTGGTATCTTATCTATATCAAACTTGTTGAAGGCACGTCCTGTTTAATCAGCAAGGTCATTAATGAAGATATTGAACATGACTGGACCCAGTATTACCCCCTGGGATACCCCACTGGTGGCTGGACTTTGTGTCACTGATTGCAACACCTCTAGGCCTGACCCTTCACCATTTTTCAATCTTGCTGTCCACTTACCTATTTTTTGTCAGCTTCTCTGTAGGGGTGTTGTGAGAGACTGTCAGAAACCTTTCTAAAACAAAGATAGATATCATTCATTGCTCTTTACTCATCCACCAAGCTAGATGCTGTGTTGTAGAAGTCTGTCAGATTGGTAAATTGTGATGTTCCCTTCATAAATTTAAGCTGAGTGCTACAGTCTTTGTCCTTTATGTGTCTGGAAGTATTTTCCAGAATTATTTGCTCCATCACCTTCTCAGGGATGGAAGTGAAGTTCACTGACCTGTATTTTATAGATCTTCCTTCTTGAAGACATAGGTGACTTTTACTAGCAAGAGCTCCAGTCACATTGCCCAAGTCACAGGATGCAAAGGCAGGAACTGGGAGAATGAAGAACTGCCTGCTGTAGGAGGTCACGTTTGAGATCATCTAGGGAACCTGAAGGTGCACAAATCCATGGGACCTAAGGAGATGTGTCTGTGGGTCATGAGAGAATAGGCAGATGTAGTTGCCAAACCATTATCCATCATGG